GGCTGTTTGCTGATTTGACATAGTTCCACGTCTTGCAGTCGCTTCCGTCTTTTTGGTACAGATTTGAAGCTAAGGCAAACTTCACGCATCACGACTAATTGGGAAATTGACCCCAAGACACAGATATCCAAACATTCTAGTTTACTAGTAAACAGTACGGTGGAGGAAGGCACTCAAAACATCCCTCCCACTTCCGCTCCCGCCTTTGCCTCCCCATCTCTCAAAGAGTTCTGCTGCTACTGATGGACCTTGAGCGAGTACGCAGCCGAAGTGCTCTTTTGTGAAGGACAATCAGCGCGAGGATGGAGTGCTCTGCATCGGGGGAAAAAAAAAAGAAGAAAAACAGCCTCGCATAACATCATTTGCGCACAATCTACAGATCTACAGACAATAACAAGCCTTTTGAATGCCGGAAAGAATAATCTAGCCCTTCTGAACAAAGAACCAAACTTCGGAATGACCGTGCCATGATCTTGGCTGTTTGCTGATTTGACATAGTTCCACGTCTTGCAGTCGCTTCCGTCTTTTTGGTACAGATTTGAAGCTAAGGCAAACTTCACGCATCACGACTAATTGGGAAATTGACCCCAAGACACAGATATCCAAACATTCTAGTTTACTAGTAAACAGTACGGTGGAGGAAGGCAATCAAACATCCCTCCCACTTCCGCTCCCGCCTTTGCCCTCCCATGTCCCAAAGAATTCCGCTGCTACTGATGGACCTTGAGCGAGTACGCAGCCTAAGTGCTCTTTTGTGAAGGACAATCAGCGCGAGGATGGAGTGCTCTGCATCGGGGGAAAAAAAAAAGAAGAAAAACAGCCTCGCATAACATCATTTGCGCACAATCTACAGATCTACAGACAATAACAAGCCTTTTGAATGCCGGAAAGAATAATCTAGCCCTTCTGAACAAAGAACCAAACTTCGGAATGACCGTGCCATGATCTTGGCTGTTAGCTGATTTGACATAGTTCCACGACTTGCAGTCGCTTCCATCTTTTTGGTACATATTTGAAACTAAGGCAAACTTCACGCATCACGACTAATTGGGAAATTGACCCCAAGACACAGATATCCAAACATTCTAGTTTACTAGTAAACAGTACGGTGGAGGGAGGCAATCAAACATCCCTCCCACTTCCGCTCCCGCCTTTGCCCTCCCATGTCCCAAAGAATTCCGCTGCTACTGATGGACCTTGAGCGAGTACGCAGCCTAAGTGCTCTTTTGTGAAGGACAATCAGCGCGAGGATGGAGTGCTCTGCATCGGGGGGGAAAAAGAAAGAAGAAAAAAAGCCTCGCATAACATCATTTGCGCACAATCTACAGATCTACAGACAATAACAAGCCTTTTGAATGCCGGAAAGAATAATCTAGCCCTTCTGAACAAAGAACCAAACTTCGGAATGACCGTGCCATGATCTTGGCTGTTAGCTGATTTGACATAGTTCCACGACTTGCAGTCGCTTCCATCTTTTTGGTACATATTTGAAACTAAGGCAAACTTCACGCATCACGACTAATTGGGAAATTGACCCCAAGACACAGATATCCAAACATTCTAGTTTACTAGTAAACAGTACGGTGGAGGGAGGCAATCAAACATCCCTCCCACTTCCGCTCCCGCCTTTGCCCTCCCATGTCCCAAAGAATTCCGCTGCTACTGATGGACCTTGAGCGAGTACGCAGCCTAAGTGCTCTTTTGTGAAGGACAATCAGCGCGAGGATGGAGTGCTCTGCATCGGGGGAAAAAAAAAAGAAGAAAAACAGCCTCGCATAACATCATTTGCGCACAATCTACAGATCTACAGACAATAACAAGCCTTTTGAATGCCGGAAAGAATAATCTAGCCCTTCTGAACAAAGAACCAAACTTCGGAATGACCGTGCCATGATCTTGGCTGTTAGCTGATTTGACATAGTTCCACGACTTGCAGTCGCTTCCATCTTTTTGGTACATATTTGAAACTAAGGCAAACTTCACGCATCACGACTAATTGGGAAATTGACCCCAAGACACAGATATCCAAACATTCTAGTTTACTAGTAAACAGTACGGTGGAGGGAGGCAATCAAACATCCCTCCCACTTCCGCTCCCGCCTTTGCCCTCCCATGTCCCAAAGAATTCCGCTGCTACTGATGGACCTTGAGCGAGTACGCAGCCTAAGTGCTCTTTTGTGAAGGACAATCAGCGCGAGGATGGAGTGCTCTGCATCGGGGGGGAAAAAGAAAGAAGAAAAAAAGCCTCGCATAACATCATTTGCGCACAATCTACAGATCTACAGACAATAACAAGCCTTTTGAATGCCGGAAAGAATAATCTAGCCCTTCTGAACAAAGAACCAAACTTCGGAATGACCGTGCCATGATCTTGGCTGTTAGCTGATTTGACATAGTTCCACGTCTTGCAGTCGCTTCCGTCTTTTCGGTACATATTTGAAACTAAGGCAAACTTCACGCATCACGACTAATTGGGAAATTGACCCCAAGACACAGATATCCAAACATTCTAGTTTACTAGTAAACAGTACGGTGGAGGAAGGCAATCAAACATCCCTCCCACTTCCGCTCCCGCCTTTGCCCTCCCATGTCCCAAAGAATTCCGCTGCTACTGATGGACCTTGAGCGAGTACGCAGCCTAAGTGCTCTTTTGTGAAGGACAATCAGCGCGAGGATGGAGTGCTCTGCATCGGGGGAAAAAAAAAAGAAGAAAAACAGCCTCGCATAACATCATTTGCGCACAATCTACAGATCTACAGACAATAACAAGCCTTTTGAATGCCGGAAAGAATAATCTAGCCCTTCTGAACAAAGAACCAAACTTCGGAATGACCGTGCCATGATCTTGGCTGTTAGCTGATTTGACATAGTTCCACGACTTGCAGTCGCTTCCATCTTTTTGGTACATATTTGAAACTAAGGCAAACTTCACGCATCACGACTAATTGGGAAATTGACCCCAAGACACAGATATCCAAACATTCTAGTTTACTAGTAAACAGTACGGTGGAGGGAGGCAATCAAACATCCCTCCCACTTCCGCTCCCGCCTTTGCCCTCCCATGTCCCAAAGAATTCCGCTGCTACTGATGGACCTTGAGCGAGTACGCAGCCTAAGTGCTCTTTTGTGAAGGACAATCAGCGCGAGGATGGAGTGCTCTGCATCGGGGGGGAAAAAGAAAGAAGAAAAAAAGCCTCGCATAACATCATTTGCGCACAATCTACAGATCTACAGACAATAACAAGCCTTTTGAATGCCGGAAAGAATAATCTAGCCCTTCTGAACAAAGAACCAAACTTCGGAATGACCGTGCCATGATCTTGGCTGTTAGCTGATTTGACATAGTTCCACGACTTGCAGTCGCTTCCATCTTTTTGGTACATATTTGAAACTAAGGCAAACTTCACGCATCACGACTAATTGGGAAATTGACCCCAAGACACAGATATCCAAACATTCTAGTTTACTAGTAAACAGTACGGTGGAGGGAGGCAATCAAACATCCCTCCCACTTCCGCTCCCGCCTTTGCCCTCCCATGTCCCAAAGAATTCCGCTGCTACTGATGGACCTTGAGCGAGTACGCAGCCTAAGTGCTCTTTTGTGAAGGACAATCAGCGCGAGGATGGAGTGCTCTGCATCGGGGGAAAAAAAAAAGAAGAAAAACAGCCTCGCATAACATCATTTGCGCACAATCTACAGATCTACAGACAATAACAAGCCTTTTGAATGCCGGAAAGAATAATCTAGCCCTTCTGAACAAAGAACCAAACTTCGGAATGACCGTGCCATGATCTTGGCTGTTAGCTGATTTGACATAGTTCCACGTCTTGCAGTCGCTTCCATCTTTTTGGTACATATTTGAAACTAAGGCAAACTTCACGCATCACGACTAATTGGGAAATTGACCCCAAGACACAGATATCCAAACATTCTAGTTTACTAGTAAACAGTACGGTGGAGGAAGGCAATCAAACATCCCTCCCACTTCCGCTCCCGCCTTTGCCCTCCCATGTCCCAAAGAATTCCGCTGCTACTGATGGACCTTGAGCGAGTACGCAGCCTAAGTGCTCTTTTGTGAAGGACAATCAGCGCGAGGATGGAGTGCTCTGCATCGAGGAAAAAAAAAAAGAAGAAAAACAGCCTCGCATAACATCATTTGCGCACAATCTACAGATCTACAGACAATAACAAGCCTTTTGAATGCCGGAAAGAATAATCTAGCCCTTCTGAACAAAGAACCAAACTTCGGAATGACCGTGCCATGATCTTGGCTGTTAGCTGATTTGACATAGTTCCACGTCTTGCAGTCGCTTCCACCTTTTTGGTACATATTTGAAACTAAGGCAAACTTCACGCATCACGACTAATTGGGAAATTGACCCCAAGACACAGATATCCAAACATTCTAGTTTACTAGTAAACAGTACGGTGGAGGAAGGCAATCAAACATCCCTCCCACTTCCGCTCCCGCCTTTGCCCTCCCATGTCCCAAAGAATTCCGCTGCTACTGATGGACCTTGAGCGAGTACGCAGCCTAAGTGCTCATTTGTGAAGGACAATCAGTGCGAGGATGGAGTGCTCTGCATCGGGGGAAAAAAAAAAAAAGAAGAAAAACAGCCTCGCATAACATCATTTGCGCACAATCTACAGATCTACAGACAATAACAAGCCTTTTGAATGCCGGAAAGAATAATCTAGCCCTTCCTAACAAAGAACCAAACTTGGGAATGACCGTGCCATGATCTTGGCTGTTAGCCAAGATCATGGCACGGTTAGAACATTGTTAGAACATTGCGGCATAGTGAGGCTGAACGAGCAAAGATGATAAAAATCGAATGCACGTCAAATCTTCTTGAAGTCGCCTGAAAGTGTTCCACTCTGCGTCCAACTTGCTTCCAATTTCTTCATCGTACCGTAGACCGACTGCTGGAAGAACTGCTTTCCAATCCACAACTTGTTTCTTTTGAGACAAGCAAGCGTAAAAACACCGCAGCGCTGCTTAGCAGTCTACAAGTCGTTCTCGGAGACTCGCGAGAATCAGTTCTTTGTACTTTGTTAGTTGGAATGCTAAGCTTTTTTGGTCATCGGGTGTTAGCGCTTGGATGTGAGTGCTACTTTTCTCTAGGTCCTGCACCGATGTGTTTACGTCTCTGAGCCCTCCTTCGACCGAAAGTTCCACAATCGCCTCAGTTGTTGCCTCGACAAGAGGACATAAGTCTACCGCAGTCGTAGAAGTATTTTGAATGGTGCTGTTCAAAGACGCCAATGGCTTGAACAGACGATCCACAAAAGAAATAATTGCAATCGTTTTCTCTGACCGCAGTTGCAGCAATAGCCCGCCAGCTTCACTGCTCATGTCACCACCATGTTGATAAATGCTTTCTAAGGCCACCAGCAAAGGCTTAAGTAGCCTCAGAATCACGGACAACGACTGCTCGTGGGAGAGCCAGCGAGTTTTTCCGGGTCGCACTAGCTTCAGCTTCAATCCTAAGGCATCCTCAATTTTTTCAAGGACGCTCAGGCGCTTGGCGCTCTTGCTGAAAAAAAAGTAGAGCGAGGAGACCAAGCTGATGGTCCGCTTGATTTCCTTTGACGACTCTGCAGCTCGCACCAACGCAAGCTGCAGAAAGTGTGCCCTGCAGTGAGTATAACAAAGATGGGGGTTGCATTGCTGCTTGAGTAAGGCTTGTACCCCTCCATGCCGACCAGAGAAGTTCGCTGCCCCATCGAATGCACAGGAAGCCATCTTGGTCGAGTCCAACCCAGACGTGCTCAACTCTTTCAAAATTTGCGATGTCACAGATGCGGCCGATGTGTCATCAATAACCTCGACAGCAAGAAATGCGTCCGTGGGGAGGCCGTTGGCATCAAGATAACGAACGCAGTGGCTTAAAATTTGTCTTCCATTGATGTCTGTGCATTCATCAGCCATGTAAGAAAACTTCTCGAATGTCGAGAAAGATGTCTTCACTTTCTCTACGGTCGTTTCCTTGATTGTCGCTCCAAACGCCTCCAACCAGTCTGTTGAATTTCTCGCAGAAAGGTAATGAGCGTTGGCTGGTCTTGCCTTGAACCACTTCTCGACCTCGGGATTTACTTGTGTCAGAAAACTCAGCAAGGGTCTCCACGACGTGTGCGCCACTTCTTGCTTGAAAAGGAAATACGATGCGACAGCCATGTTCTTCCTCATAAACCGAGTTTTGTCGTCAGCACTTTTGCCGCCTCATTTAACACTTCTGAAATCGTCTGTGGCTGGCTTAAGAGGCGTTCAGCGTGTCTGTGCTGTCCCGAGGCGTTGTTTTTCGCGGCCTTTTCTGCAAGTTTAGATGCATTGAGCTTGCTTATTAGCTTAATTATCCACGCACCACTAGTTTTTCTGTCAACATGGAGTCTCCCTTCATTATATGCCTGTTTGCACGTTTTGCTCCAATAACCATCTTTCGAAGCCTCATTGAACGGAAAACGCGTTAATGAACGACGGCTCTGCACTTTCGGCTGCACGCTCTCGTCGGCTGTTGGTTCCACAGCTGTTTGGGACGAACTAGATGAGCCGGGTGAAGTAGACACATCCCCACACGGTGTTTCAAAGTCGTTGGACTTCGATGTCTTCCGTGACATAAAAAAGTTCTCAATAGGTTGTCGCTTCATTTGCAGCGTTACCTGAAGGAAAAACAAAAGAAACGCGTAAATAATGTGTCTCGATTTCTCAATTACGTTGCTACAAGACAGTTTTCTCAAAATTAGTCTGTGGCAGCTGCTGCCAAAGTGCTTCCTGTCTTTTCCTTTCCTGAATTATGTCCCAAGCCTCATTAACTTACATCATCCGCCCGCATCTTGTCCAAAATAGCTTTCTTTCTTTCCGCGGGGCTCAGATTGATGCCCAACTCTTGACAAATTTTGAGGTCTTGCACTCGAAATGAGTCCATCACGATTGCGGGTCTCGTGCCGTTTTATCTCTCCGAATTTAACTTTGCATCCGAACCATTCGAGTCTCGGCCGAACCAAGCAAAGAAATTCAAAACCGAATTCGCCCGCCGAAATGGCAACACTCCTAACAACTCGCAGTGTTAGCTGAGTCTGGCGGATTGAGAGGAAAACCAGCCGAATGCAGCTAACGGCGTTCTCGTTTGGGCCGATAGGGGCGCTGCGTCGCTGGCTTCTCTCTCGTACGTCCACCCAAAGAACAGATTCGTTGGTCTAACCAACAGTCTCACACCAGACTGTTTCGCCGCTGTGCTTTTGAGCGCTGGTGTCGTGGATAGGATCTTCGCTACACCAATCAAGCAAACGAGAAAAACAAACTGAAAAAATAATAATAATAAAAAAGGAGCGGGAGGGAAAGAGAGGAGGAGGAGAGCCGGAGGGTGCACGCGCACGCCAACGACATTGGTGGCGCCATCTGGCGGTCTCCCAATATTTTATTTTATTTTATTCACGATACCAAAGGCACTCCTCCTACAAATGCCCGCCCTGTTTTAAAAAAGTTTTGGCCCATTTGACTGACTGACTGATTTACTTTTTTCAGTCTCACACCATACTTTCTGCGACTTGTGGCACTAGTTTCTCCTTACCATGGTGGAGGCTACAGCTGCACTCGGCTGGGAAAACGTCAGGCACTCACCACGCAGAGGGTAGCTGACGGCCTGACTCGCTGGTCGATCCCACTTGCTCGTAGGGAGGGCGGGCGCGTACCGTTCCACACCTTACTCTCGGAGTTTCTCAAGGAGGAGATTCCTTTTCCCGGCATTGCTTCATCCGCGGTGGCTGGAGAGCGGGAATTGCCGAAAAGATTCTAGGCCGTTGAGTCCTTCCGACTTGTTTTGTTTGTGAACTGTTTTCTGCCTCCGGGACCAAGGTCACAGCTTGTCGGCGAGAGTTCGTTGGGACGCACAAACTTTCTGGAGCATTTGAGAAAGCGCCAGTCGCCGCTCTTGTTTTGTTTACAGTTTCTTTCCTTGCTCTTTCGTTGTTCGGCGCAGCTCTCGTCGGGGCCGCTCGGTTTTCGGGGCTTGCCGGAGGCTTTTCGAAGAGCGTGGATGGCCGGATGGCCACAGCGACAGTAAAGTTGTCGAGATTAGGAGACATTCGGACCGCTCTGTCCCTTTCATAATACTTAGCCCAGCGAATAAAGAAGATACTTCGATTTGAAAGCCGAAACATCATTGACCGTCGATGAAAAGGTTTGTTTGTGCGTCTTGCCTAAAAACGAATTGATCTATCGAACGATCGTGCCAATAGCTCGGCGACAGAAAAGTGATGAAAAGACGGTCAGAGGGCTGCCTTGCTTGGAATGCTTAGCCCGGCCGCAGCGAATAAAGATACTTAGATTGGAAAGCCGAAACACCAGTTAGCGTTGCGGGAAAGGCTTGTTCATGCATACCGCCTAAACACAAATTGACGTGCAATCGAACGACGGTGTGCCGGTATCGGCGTAGCTTCCGTCTCGCTGCGAGACGGAACCAGAAAATCTGACAAATTTGAGGGTTTTCCTGCGTCGACGAGCGGGTTCAAGAATATTGTCTTTACTTTAAGTAGGAACAGCATGCATGGTCAATAAATAGATCAACCAAGGTAACCTTCCACATATGTGCACGAAGCGAGTCTTCAAACCTTTCAGAAATAAACGTTTGTAGAAAGTTCATAACGTTGCCGTCTCTTTTGCTTTAGACTCTGCCGCTCCACAGGGGGCTAATTATTTATCTTCGAAATATTTTCGGCTTCTGCCACCCGTATCCACGGTTGGTAGGAGCTCATGTGGCCGTGGCCCGTCGATAGTTTTTGGCCATGTTCCAAAACTTACTCGATTTAACTCTAGGGTTAAAGTCGTTATCAAAAACCTGACCTACCCGCGTCCATCGTTTCTCTATTTTGTTGTCACGTGACATAAAATGCCAGGGTAACTCGGATCCATTCGAGTAGGTTTGGAACGCAGCCTCGGTGTGTCGCGCTCCTGTACGATATCCGCCGCTTAGTTGCTGCGCTCGGAGTATGAAACTCGGAGTGTCGGAGTAGGAGTAAAGGAGCGCCGACTTAACGCACCTAGTGACGTCATTAATGACGTCATCGGTATCCACATCGTCATCGTCACTGATGACATCATCGGCATTGCCATCGTCACGTGACCCCCCCCCCCCCCGGTCAGTTGACCACCCCCTCCCAGTACCCTTCCCTCCTCCTCCTCAAGAGCTGAGCTCTAATTCGGCGTTACAGGGAGTTGTAAATGGCTTTCACTTTTTTTCTAGCTTTTTATATTGGTTTTTATTATTTTAAATATTTTCTATGTTTTTGCAGTCGTCTAGGGGCACAAACTTTTCTGCCTTTTCACATACTGCAAAACCCTCCAATTTCACGGCATATTAGTGGCTACTAATATTCGCGAATTCTTCTAGCACGGGAAGAAAAACTCTCAGTGACTAAATTTTACAAATTCTGGACTCTTGAGGCCAGGGATCGAAAATCCAGTGAACTTTGCAGCTTTGATAAGGGGCATTTTCTGGAATTTTCCATAGTTCGTATTGACATAGTATTGCCAGTCCTGGAAAATTCGTCAGTTTTTACTTTACCCCGTACAGGAAATAGATTAGCGGTCACAAAAGGATAAGGTGGTACAGAGTTGCTTTACGCCTTTGTGAATATTGAGCGTAAACAGGAGGGCGTGACAGTATGCATGGGGGTAAACGAACGTACGAGCTGCGCAACTAGCAGACTGCTTGCCTGCCATATAGAGAAGTTAGAAAGGAATAGCCTGAAAGTATAAATCTTCAGATATTGTAGTAAGTTACGTTTCCATAAAGCCGGAACATGACAGAGAAGTCTATTAATTGAATGCATACATTAGCGTCTACTAAAAGAAAAGAAGTATTACAGATGGTTAGAGAGTTTTTTGCCTGCGCAGAGCCTGCCTACATTACGCCAAAGTGAGCGTCGCGAACGGCACCAGCATCGCTAGCACACATTCTGCGCCATCTGTCGCCAGCCAGCACAAAGTCCGCAGGCATTGTGCCAAGGCCAGCACCGCCAAGGACGCCAGCACGCATAGCTGTGCCATCTGTTGTACAGTCTGCAATGTCGTGAAGAGAAACTTACTCTCGCTGCAGTTACTCTCGGGCTTAGAGTAGAGTATGATTGTGGGAGGTGCTTGAAGAAGAATAACTTCTATGAAGACAGTTAAAAAAGTGCAAGTTCAAGCAATTACTCTCTTTCGACACCTTTTTTTTTTTTTGTTGAGTGTGGTCGAAGTGTTATTTGGCAAGGTGTCGGTTTTTGCTCTCCTGTGGCAGAGCTGAAGCAACAGACCATTATTGGATATACTTTCAAACCCTTGTGCAGAAATGTTCCAGAAGGGGGCTTATTGTGATGAAACAAACTACACCGACTTTACACAACGAATCTGATTATTTAATCGGACGTTTCGTCTCCCATGCAGGAGACATAATCAGTGAAGCCAAGATAAAAGGAATGAGAGAAACACCAACCAGAAATCCTATTTAAGGAGGTTCGCATACACTTCGGGAAGGGGGCCGCAGTTGGAGTTGCAGGCCTGACGAATCGCTCCGGATGCATCATGACCTTGTGGTTGGACACATCACAAAAGACTTGAAATTAATTTTGTGTTCTGAAGGTCAGTCTTCAACTCCTCCGCTGCGGATGGGGCGAGCATGTTCAAATCAGTTGCTTTGCCGTTTCTTCATTAAGATTGAATTTGAGGATAGGCTAAGAGAAATAGATGCAAAACGATGGGCATGCAGAGCCCTTAGCTATTTGCACATGAGACGTGTCAATACAAAATGGAGAAAGTGGACTACAGTCAAATCTCGTTATAGCGAAATTGAAGGGGCATCTCAGTTTTTTCGTTATAGCCATTTCATTGAAGCCTTATGCGAGAGGGTGTACTCTCCTGCAAGGGGCATCAATGACTATAGGCGACGGCACGGCCGCTGCGTCCTCAATAAAGTATCAATGACCCTGCTTAAATAACATGCAAAGAAACATTTATAGCAGACATAAGCATTTTCTGCAGAAATCTGCAGCATTTACTACACAACACATTCCTAGTGGCAAGTCATTCTTGCACTTCATGCAGACGTTGGTCCAAAAAAGTCCATTATGTCTTGCTGTTGCACCTCCCTTAGACAAAGGACAGCCTTCTCAGCAGCAGCTGTTAACCATAGACCGTCT